TATATATATATATATATATATATATATATATATATATATATATATATATATATATATATATATATAATACCCCAACAGCAACAGCAGCAACATCTGCTGCTGGTACTACTGCTGCTGCTGTTGCTGCTGTTGCTGTTGCTGCTGCATTTTCCGCTGCTGCCGCTGCTGCTGCTGCTGCTGCTGCTGCTGCTGTTGCTGCATTATAATTATATATCCTTGGGTATTTATATATTTCTTTTGTGGGTGTTATCTTGAGTGTAGTGATAGGTGGGGTTGTTGTTGTTTATATTTCCTATGAATACAAAGCAGCAGCAGCAACACAAAATAAAAAACTAGAAAAATAAAAAAAAAAATAAATAAATAAACTTACGTATATTACGAGCATAGAAAGCTGTATCTTCTTCTGCTGCTGGTATATATGTATGCCATCTTCTGATTATAGTTTTTGTATTATGACGTTTTAATTTATCCCAATAAGTGAAATCTTTGGTTTCATATGTTTTTATTTTTTTTATAAAACCTTCATTATCTGTTTCTTTTATTATTTCATTTAGGGGTTTTATAGGTGGTGGAGCACCGAACTGTCTATACACCTCATCTGCATATTTAGATTCTGCTTTTTTTAACATATTATTATAATTCTTTATTTCTTTTTCTATTTCTTTATCTATACGATGTATTTCTATTTCTTTTTCTTGTAATTCTTTTAATTCTTTTAACTCTTCTTGATTTAAATTTTGTTTGCTGTTTAGGTGCAGCAGACGCTGCTGCTGCTGCTGTCGTTGCTGCAGTATTTGCTGCTCTTCTGCATCCATTTCATCTTCTTCTCCTTCTCCTTCTGCTCCTGCTGCTGCTGCTGCTGCTGCTGCTGCTGCTGCTGCTGCCTCCGAGCACTCTTGCGTTGCTTCTGTTGTCATCAGGCAAAGAAGAAAACCAACAACACCGCCAAAAAATTCCTTAGACGAGCGTGATGATTAAAATATTATTTATTTATTTATTTTTAATAACAAGACAAACTAAATTTATTTAATATTAAAATAAAGAATTATATTCAGCAGCAACAACTACTGAAACAACAAACCTGTTTATTTTTATAGTTCCTTTCTCTCTTCGTTTCTTATTATATTTTTATATAATAAAAAAAAAGAAAGAAAGTAGACTGAACACTATATAATATATTATATTTCAGGTATACTGGTACTAGCTGCAACTGCTGCCTCATCGGCCTCAGCACCACTACCAAAATTCGTAGCAACAAAAGTATGAATTTTAATGTATTAAATAATTATATTTTAATGTTTTATCTCACCTGCAGAAGGAGGAGCTGAGCTGTCTTTACACTCCACAGCATGAAGAGTTACAAGGTTTGCTGGGATCGGCTGTTGTTGAACATTAGAAGGTAGAGGAGTGTCGTCCGCTCTGATCACCACCGACAAAGAAGGGGTATTGACGGTGAAGGAGTCCAAAACGGGCAGCTTTCCTTCCATTTTCGGAATAAGAATGATAAAATAAACCAAAAATCCGAAAAAAATTCAGAAAAACCTCAAAATATTAACCTGTAAGAGAGAAACTTGAATCGGTGATGATGAGAATGATTTCAACCGGAAACAAGCAAAAAAAACAACGATCCACGGAAAATAAAGGGATAATTGACCTTTTTTTTGAATTTAATTCAAAATAATACCGAAAAAATGAATATTTATTCATGGGAAATGACGGAAAGCACTAAAATATCTTTATGCTTTCCTATATACCACCACTGATCTCAGAAACCTCGCTAGCAACAGAAGCGGCTAGCGGGGTCGCCAGCAACACTCATCGATGCAGTGTGTTGCTTTTCTTCGAATAAAAAAAAAAAATACAACAAATTACAAACAAATTTCATAAAAAAACACAAAAAATTTCCCTTTTTATTTGAAAAAATACAAACAATTTGAATTGTACAAATTTCAGGTGTACGTACACCTGAATTTATATTGCAATTCCATCAACGACCGGAAAGCAGCAACCAACATACGCCTCTTGAGAAAAACAAAAACACCGAGAATTTAATTTAATTTAATTTAATTTAATTTAATTTAATTTATTTATTTATTTTTAAATGTGCAACCTGAAAATATTCTTTTTCTTGCTTCTTCTCTCTACTGATCCTTCGTTTCTTAACCTCCCCTCCTCAACCCCCGCAGCCGCAGCAGTGTTTCAGCTGCTTTCTTCGCTTGTATTGCTGCCCATGTTTATTCAATTACTCCAAAAAATAAAAAATTTACAAACACACTTCATCTATACATTTATTTAACCCTTACAACCACCCACACACAGAACCCC